AATTTTTTGGGGATAATAAGAAGTTTTGGAGGGCTTTGGAGGCCCCCTTTTTGGCTTTTGCAAGGGGCGTGGGGGGGGGGAAGAAAAACTTTTTTGATTCAAAAGCCCCTTTTTTGGCAAAAAAGGGGGGGGGGGGAAAAATAATTGTTTTAGGTTTTTGACAAGGGGGGGGGGGCGGAAACGAAACCACCAATTGTTATTCCCAAAACCAAAAAAAAAATTAATAAAATAAAAAACCCCCTTTTAATTTTTTTATTAGGGTGGGAAAATTAGGGGGAAAGGTTTAAAATTTAAAAAGATTTTAAATACGGAATTTGTGGGCAAACCAAAAAGGGTGGGAAACTTTTTTTTAAGGGGGTTTTTTTATTGGCCACATGTTTCAAAATAAATTTTTTGTTGGGGAACCCCCCCCCCCCCCCCCGTATGTCGAACCTGCGGCAACCCCCTCCACCTCCAAGAGAAAAAAAAAACAACTTTCGTCAGTACTGCCGATTCTTGTGGGCGAGTGACTGCCGTTGTCCACCGCAGAACACGAACACGACCCTCCTCCCCCTCCCCAATCGAACCTACTGCCAATCTCCCTCTCCCTCACATTCACGTCCTCCCAAGAGCATTGCTGGTGCGGGTGACAAGAGGGGTCGTCCAGGTGGCTCGCCAGGAGCCGCACGGACTTCTGGTTCAGCAGGTAGGCCGCCCCCCCGGAGTTGAAAATCCGGTCGTTGTTCCCCTTCGGCCGAAAACGCCTTCCCAGGTACATGGGCACGCTTCCACCGTCCTTGAAACCGCCCGCGGCCTTCTTGATGTCGTCCGAGAGGAGGTACTGTTGCCGCGCGGTTGAGGACAAAGGCGTCGGAAAGCCAAAACAAATCGCAACTTGTGGGCGGAGAGCACCATCACACGACAGACAGGGGCGCCGGGAGACGTACTTGTAGGCATTCTACGGCGCATCAAGATTGTAAGGTTCTTGAGGATGCAGGGCGCATCGTCGCCGCTATATTTCAGCATCCCCTTGAAACTATCATTCGTTTTCACCTACAACTTCCGTGCACGTAGAACATCCCTCCAGCCAAGCAGAATACTCGAAGACCCAGATTATACTAACATGGCAATCCCGCCAGTTTAGCGTGCTTCTTGCAGAAGTTACAATGTCTACGCCTCGTTTGTGGACGCCGCCGAGAGCCTCTTGCCGTTATTCTGTGTGTGCTGGTGACTTCGAAGAGCTCTGGACAGCTTCTCCATAGTCATCTCGTGTTGTGTAAGTCAATGGGTCTTTTCGTGTGATGGTGGAATGGATGGCTCCAAAAATAACAAGTCATGCCTGCACATCGTTGCTACGTACCCGACGACACCAACACCACCGCAGCGGCACGGCGGTACACTGTACACGCCAAAAATCAATGCAGCGGCCACAAACACGGCACTATCACCTACATATCGAACATTTTCATAATCGTTCCTGATGCAAAACGCAGGTTGTTCTTCTACTCACTATGAAGACTCAACTCCTTCGACAAATGCTTTGGTTACATCTCGATCGGGTAGTCTCTCTTCACTTGTATGAACTTCTTCTACAAAGTAAAACATTCAGCTATTTAGTGTTGTGTGCATCATGCTGTACCTTTCTCAGGTTCTCGACGATGAGGAAGATGTCGTCGCCGCCAAGAACGAACCAATCAAAGTCGTTAATGTAGTGCCTGTCGATGTACTTCCAGATGGCGCGACTCTTCTGCCACATGTTGTCCCATTCCTCCGGCCCCTCGTGCTTGATCTTGAACCTGACCCGCGGAGTCAAAGACACACCCGTACACAACGACAGGGGCGTTTGGAACAAGTACAACCCATCACCGCGAAAGATGCACACTCACACAGACCAACTGACAAACACAAAAGAATGGCTAGCGTAAGTGATAGTTGTGCCTGTGTGCATGGCAGTACACTGCCGTTTCCATGCGTACGCAAACAAAGTGTACAAGGATAATTTTCCGGCAAAATATTCCTAAAAATAGAGCCGTTGGCAACTACGGGGACCCTACGGATGGTCGCAATTGGCTCCGTGTCCACTCTCTCTTCTTGGCACCACTCTTTGTCTGCACCTCACGGAATCAAACCAGTCTGACCTCGATATTCGAGCCAAAAACTGAATTACCACGAGCTTGGCACCCCGCCACCCGCGGCGTCTGCTGATGGGAAACAGCCTGTTGTTATTCGCAGTTAGGCACTGCTGTGGCATGCATACGTGCTGTTTGGCCAGAGGCCTAGCTGCGGAACAGGCGGAGTTTTTCGTCCCGGTTAGCACGGCAAGAGCCCGCAGCGAGCCGACATTCGTTGAGAGGACAAAACCAATCGAAAGTTGACTCGTTGCAGGCTCTTGCCGTGCTGACGGGGTCGCAAAACGCCGCCTGTCCCGCAGCTACACCTCCGGCCAAAGAGCACGTACGCATACCACAGCAGTGCCGAACTGCGCACCAGTGCTGTTACATTACCACTGCTGCATCAAGACTTCCGGCTTTGCCGCCTCCCGCACGAAGGTCGCCTGTCAACCACCACCATTCGGAAATCTTATCTTCTCGACCGCAATGACGTTGAATTAGAGACGGCTGGACTACTAGCTGGGTGACGGCTTGCGACACAGAAACCATTCTCTCCCAGTAGGAACAATACGAAGGGCGGAGGTATTGCATTCCTATCAGGAAGGGCTGCACAGTGCAAACTGCGACAGCATGAGCAACAACGGCAAGAGACTGTACCAAGAAGATCTGTCACTGAGGGAGCGATGAACAGCCTAAAGCTACAAACCAAGTACAAGGGCAGCAGGAATCTCACGAGGGGACGGCGAGGTCGACTTGGTCGCTGAAAGCCACGAAACCGTCGCAGCGTGATGCCCACGTCTCCTTGATTGCCTGTGAAATACAATACATCAGATGATGACGAGAACACAAGCCTATTACACGTACGAAGTAGCTGCCATGAGATCAGCGGCAGTCACGAGCACGGTACAATACTACCGCCCAACAACAACAGCACACGCGCCACACACCACCAATACGGTGCATTACAATAAATTAAATTACAATAGGGGACCGGGGACAAAAACCGTCAATCTTTTGGGTCGAGGGCCAGTTTCTTCTTATTTCGTCACCACCGGTGAGTACAGGTCATTATAAAGAGTTTAGAGTAGGATCCTCGGCAGCGCTGTGATTCTGAACCGAATTTTCTTGACTTTTCGTGGAACCTTTTTTCACAACGCCATTCTTCGTAACTGCGCGGCCGCACTGTTACACCTCAGTCAGAGGGGTGATGAAAAAACATCGCACTAGCCGCCAAGGGATGAATAAAATCCAGGACGAACTCCTACGGGGAAGCAGTGCAAGACGGAAGGCTGGTTGGGTAGTTCCGCCGTTCAGGCCTCTGCATGCTGAACGCCTCAACTACGCTACTCTGGTTCGTTATTCGTGCGACAACGGGATTGGTGCTGGACGCCCACAACCGACATTGACTTCGAAGCGACGTCCGGCCTGTGCTTCCACCAACGCTGGGGTTTGCTGATCCCTAACACACAAGCCTACCACGAACGCCCGGCTACGAAGCCCTGGACTACGTGCACATTGTACCATTCAATGACTAGTGTGGCCGAAGATTCGTGCCATGATCGGAGGTGCACAAATTTCGACAAAAATGCCATACCAGTGGCGCGGCTAAGGCGGCTACACCATGCTTACTCTCTACTTTCATCAACGCCCAGCAAAAAACATTGGTCTCCGAGCGGGAGGATACAGGCGTTCATTGTGTTTGGCAGGTACGCAGGTAAGCCAAACAATACTTCAAGGGGTAACGACGGTCGAATGACGCACACGAAATCGCGGCCCGGCCCAAAACAACACGATCGAGGAGCTGAAACAAAGGGATGTGTACCCCTGTACCGAAGCACGGCCCCGAACCCCTGGCCAACCACTGCTCTCAGAACCGCACACCCGAACCCAACGTACACACATGACACATCGCATACCACGTGCAGAGCAAAGGTGGATGGTGTGTGTTGGAATCGGTACTGGGTGTCCGTTGATTGGCGGCCGCTCACACCTTGATTTTGGTGTCATGGTTTGCGTGGTACGTGTAGACGCCGCAGAATATTCTCGGCGCGGTTTTGGCAGCGCCTCCCCACACGTCAACTTGGGCGATCAGCTGCTTGTGGCTATCATTCCTGGCAAACAAAACAAAAAAACAGAAGTAAAAAAATATTCAGTACGTGTCAAGGGAGGGAGGGGGGTGTCGTTTGTGGGTAGGTAGGGATAAAGTACAAAATACTTCAAGACTTGTACCGTGGGAAGCGGATAACATGACGTTTTCTTTCGCCTGTCGTCCTGCGCGTTGGTTGAACCGAACGCAGATGCGGCAGTGCAGAGGAAGACAAATCTTCGGCAGTTAGACCGGCGCTAGACAGAAACACGCTTCACTATTCTGCTTCTTAAAAGCCGACAGAATTGCACCAGGCGGCGCCGTGACCGGCCACTCGAGCTTCTTCGCTTCAGACCTCCGTCGTCATCATTTCTCGAGGTCCAATTCCTCGACAGCGGGGTGGGCCCGTCCTATTGCAAATGGGATACACAGCAATGCTGCAGCGACGCGTGACACCCCCTCAACTCTCTGTGCAAACCCGAACATCATCTGGTGCCTTGCGCTTCGCGGCGGAGCAAGAGCAACCAGAGAAGAAAAAAGTAATGTAGAATGTCGAGAGGTACGAAAGAAGACTCACAGATCGCACACTCCTTCGGGAAGGGCGTACAAGGTAGGGGCCCACTGCGAAGACCGGAAAAAATGGTTGGGGTCGAACTTTTGCTGGTAGTTCCACGGCTTCCCGATCATCTGTTCCTCGGCGTCGGAGAGCCCGAGCGATTCTTGGAGAGTCATGAGCCTCCTGGCGCCTTCCCGCTCCGGAGGGACGGCATCGGCATCACCCGCACCTCCCGCCGCAGCAACCTTGTGGGGGCGGACAAGGTAGGGTGGGTATGCTGCAGAGGTCAGGTCCAGGTTGGGAGCGAGTTGGGTTTGGAGCTAGCGGCGCACGTGCGGCTAGAGAGGGGGCGGAAGCACAGGTTGGGCGCGGGCGGTAGTTCTCAGTTCTCAGTGAGTGTCATTATCTTACGTTGAAAAAAGCTTCGGCAAGGGCAAGGTTTCAAGTCAACAGAGATAATGCTCCTGTCCTAACATATATTTTGGCAACCCCTCTCGTCATCCCGGATTCCTTCCTAGTGCCCCCTTGCTGCACACATGCCCCGTCAAGCACTCGTTGTACTGCTAGTTTTGTCCTCCGCAATGGTTGTGTGGGGCATGCATCTGTAGGTGCTCTCGCGATAGTCATGTTACGTGCGTTGTGTGCAGATCTCGACACAAGGAAAGGAAAACAACTCGGCGGGGAGTTGAAGGATAGGGTCTCGATCCCTACAAGCAGGGGACGGCGGATCTTGGGATCTCAAGACGAGGATCGATCGCAGACACAACCAACGTCGAGAGGGGGCGGGCTTTGTCCCGTACGGGTGTAACTCCATAATCTTTCATACGGGTGGGTTGGTTCCGTTTACTTTACGCTAGGGACCTAAGGAAGTCTCCTGAGTCCCCTCTTGCCCTCGGGTGGGTGGTCCTTGTCCGATGTCTTCCTAGTGCATCCAAGCGAGTCGCGCCCACGGCACGAAAGGGGGTGCGGCACAACTGCTTACCATCCACCGGTCAAGCGTGATTATGCAAAGGATGTGAGTTGTTCCGGAGACGTGACTTCCGCGACCAGTGATGGATCGTACTGCAGCAGTAGGTCATCTGCAGCGTCTCAAAAACACCTGGGCTGCGCCACGCCCCGACTGAAGACCCTTTGCTTTGTGTACCCTCTACTGTATTCGTGCGCCCTATCGCTTCTTGGTTGACTCTGATTTTACCCCAAAACCCACCGACAGCAGCAAAGGTGCAAGTACATTCCACAGGCACTTGCACACGATTACATTTACATGAGTGCCCTTTGGTCGATGGCACAAGTTCTGAGCCCGACTCTTTTCGCTTCACATGGTACATCACATGTAAGATCAGATACACACCGACAGGTGCTGCTACCTATAGGCTAGGTGCTAGACGCTGCTGCTGCTGTTTTACGTTTGTAGTGTTCCTTGTTTCGTTCTCACTTCGTTTCCAGAGTCTTCCTGCACGGCAAACACGCAGGAGATTGCCAGAGCGCCGAGGAGAACCCGGAGCACCATTTGTTCACAGCAGTACTCCGCCACGCCACGAATCTCCACACCACGGGCGGCGGTGCTATGGGCGCAGCGCGATTGAGGGGTGGTGTCGGGGGCACAACGCATGATACAACAGTATTCCTCCGCATGAAAACCCCCCCGTACCCCGTACTCCGTACCCCGTGCCCCGTGCCCTGCGCCTGGGATTCGCGCCCCTGCTGCGCGCCCCATTGGTTGCGCCGCAGGTTGGTGGTGTGCCGCACCCAGTCGCTGCACCGCGCTGCTGCTGCTGTACTGCCTGCTCTTGCGTACTCTTTTACCATGCCTGCTGACGATGACAGACGACACGGCGAATGTTGTAACCAGCAGGGACCCGAGGGGTTGAGGTCTCTGCACCCCCAACTGGGGTCGAGGTTGCCGTTCTTCCTTCCCTGGGTACCCCGACCTGCAGCGGGAGCGGCAGATGCGATGCCAACGCCGCCGGTCTTGACTGAATCTTGCGGCTTCAAGCTCATTATGGGCACCGTGGGAGGTAAGGCATTGTTTTTTTGGTGTAACGCTTGCTTTCTCTGGGTTATAACTGCTGCTTTTGTGGTGTACTGCGACATGCAGGGTATTTGTGCTCCCGACAAGTTCTCCGGTGTGCATGGAGTCACCCATGGTGTGCAGCCAAAGTAGCTTGCCGACTCATGATGATGCCCGCGTGGATGATCCAGTTCTCTGTCCAATGGTGTGCTATGACACCGCTTGTGTGGTTGAGCTGGCAGCTCCAGTGCAGTCCAGATAGAACGAGGAACGTGTTTGGCAGTATCACAATGGCATCTCCATGAGCAGAAACGTCTCGAGCGACATACATCGCCGAATAGCAAGACAGTCGTTTCCCCGCACACCCGTCTTATTGCACGACCAAAGGCTACAAATACCTGCTTTACGTTGGTTGTGTTTTAGTGTCATGCACATCATCCCATGAATCTGGCAGCTCATCCTTGGTTGATGGCCGTGCTACGACTGGTGCTGAATGCCTTGCTTTTCGATTACGTTTTCCTTGCAACAGGGGCAGGAATGGGCTTCGTGTTCGGTTTGTTCCTCGGGGCGATGGGCGATATGCAGCCGTTACAGATGATCAACGGACGGGAGGTCCCTCAGGCACCGTTCAGAGAACAGGTAAAAACACCCCACCATTTGTATTTATGCATTCTTGCGGCAGGAAGCGCTGGGTTGGCTGCAGCCATCCCGCACGTGTGCATACATGCTGGATACAGTGCCGCTTTCGTGCATTGGGACGAACTTCCACGCCCGCGCTCTCCCCTCCCCTGCCTGACGAACTTGCGATGTTGGCTATTGGCTGTCTCAGGCGCGACTGGCGTACAAGCAAACCGCGGACCGATCGCTTAGCATGGGGAGAAATTTTGCATCGTTTTCAGGTGTGAATTCTTTTCCCCATTCACATGTAGTACGTGACCAGACGTATATACACGTAAGTACGCAGGTACAGCTGTAGTAGGATGACGCTTTCGTTGTGCTGCACTGATGCTATGGGAGATCGTACCGGCCCAGCCATAAGTTCTGCACGTCGAGGTTATCGCCTCCCGAAGTCGGGGTGGTGGTCTCTTAGAAAACTACTGTAGTTGAGACGCGGCCCGTTTCACGGCGCTGACGACAGCGCTGGGCGAGCCTACTTTACTGCCGTTGTGAATGCGTGCCCTCCTTCGTGCTCGAGAGGAAGATTTACGTACTGCTGTAGCAGAGCTGTGTGCCGCGGGAGTTCCGTGATTGGCTCAGGAAATAAGGCGATGCACTCCTTGCACCACGTGAAGCGCGTGGTACAGCCTCCTCCAGTGCACGGCATGCAATGGCCGAGAATCGGCGCCAACCTCGAACAAGTAGCCGAAAGCAATAGCTGCCGAAATCACCCTCCTGCCTTAACAATCTTAACCCACCGGCTCCCGCTTCTTGCTGCGCGTCGACGATGTCTGCCGTCGCTGTGTCTGCGGTTGCTTTCGTGTTGATCATGCTTTTCACGCATGTGGGTCTGCCCCCCAAAGCTATTTTTATGGGGTCGGAATGCGTCATCGAGAAAATGCGCGGCAAGACTGACATGATGAACTCCGTCTACGCGGGGTGCGCGACAGGGGCGGCCTTCGGCATGAAGCAAGGCCCGCAGGCGGCATGTTTCGGCTGCGTGGGGATGGCCACGTTCTCTGCGCTCATGGATAAACTCATGGGGCACTAAGCACTCTTGGGCAGTAACATATTGGTCAGGATGAGGTGTGACGGAGCGGTCAGGGTGACCACTCTTGGCAAGAAGCGAGCTCTTCCTGTCGTACAAATTGCGGCACGACAACGTACTGAAGCGCGAAACACTACTACGATTATGGCGTGTTTTCGACGTGCTGCCTGCGCGGAAGGAAGAGAAGGGCTGTCTGTGTCACCGCTGTAGGTGTTCATGATAGAGAAACGTTTTTCTGTGTGAGGTGCAAGCCGGATTTGTTTGGTTTCGGTAGCCCATGGCGAGCGCAATGCCGGCTGTTGGGAAATGCCTTTGCGAGTGCCTGCAGCCTTGCAGTGCAGCATTTGTGCAGGTTACATAAGGGGGTATCGGTTTTTGTGAGACGATGACAACGAGAACGTCCGCCGAACGGGGTCAGCCGCCATGTACAGTAGTGGGATACCAGATTTTCAGAGGTTTGATTTACCAGTCACACCATTGGGTTGCGTGTTGCTCGCTCTCAAGCCTTGACCCTCTTTTTTTCTCTGCTGCCGCCGACCACTACCTATATCTCCAATCCCACCCGTGGGCATAGTCTGCAAGCCAAACCAAGCGTCTGGGGAAACACGCCGTGGAAAAGAAAAAATACTCCATGCTACGTCTCCAACACATGACCAGCAATGAAATTCTTTGCAATTCTTATTCTTTCAACTTCTGCGATTGTAGCACAACGACAGACACAGAAACTCGTCGGTTGGGTCCTCTCAGCCAAACCGAGCGTCTGGGGAAACACGCCGTGAACAAAAAAATGTCATCCTCCATCCTACGTTTCCAAAACATGACCAGCATATGAAATTTCTTTGCAATTCTTTCAACTTCTGCTAGCACAGCGACAGACACAGAAGTTCGTCGGCTGGTTCCTCAACCAGCACACACCCATCCACCCACCGACTTTCCCACTCCCTAGCAATATATTCCCCGACTCTGATTCTTCACAGTACCACCCGTGCACAGTAAGCACAGGCAAAACAGTCGTTTGTGAAATGCTTCCAACAGAAAAAATCCCGCTGCTACATACTTTGGCTCTGCCGTTGCTTGGCAACCCCCACTGGAGACAAGGAACCGTCCTCCTGTTTTACGTTCTGCATGATACGGCCAAAACCAAACGCCAAAACCGAGCGTCGTTGGTTGCACTGCGACACATAAACTAATGTAAAATATACAGCAAGGCAACAGAGAAAGAACAGACAAAAACTGCAGAGAAACAAAACAAGGACCTCGACTGCTGCCGCGGGCAACAAGCGAAACACACCCGGCAAAAGAAAAGCGAAACAACAGTAAGCGTGAAGCGCCATTCCCCCCTACACCACCGCCCCTTCGCCCCGATGCCCGCAGACCGGAAATGGTGCCAGTTCCAACTACAAAACGGTCAGCAGCTCGTCTGTACCATCAAGTACCTCTCTTGCTCCGTGCCTTCTTCTCTGGACGCCTCTCCACGCCTCCACCCCCACGTCTCTCACACCACCGGCGCGGAGCTTTTCTGCGGTTAAATCGATAACTCTCCAGCACCCGTCGCCCATTCCCTTCAGACAAAAACATATTGGTGTTATTCTTTCTCCATCCTCCTTCGGGCCTCCGTCCTTGCCAAGAAACTTTCCAAGTGCGGAACGCTTCTCGTGGGGCACTCAGAGCATCTTCACTCTCGCCCGACGTTGCCTCGCCCCGCCCCCCCGCGTCCAAGCCACCACCCCCCCCCCCACGTGTTTCTCCACTCAGCACACACTTTTTTTGTCCTGATTGCTTTCCCGCCAGCCTCTCACGCGAGGACGGGCCATTCTCTTTGAATTTTCTCTCATCTACACGTCCACCACCCACTTCGTCCGTCTCCGACCCGATCCGATCCGAATGCATCGGCGAATCGCTCGCCACCGGCTCACGTTAACCCTACCGCTTGCTGTTCGCGTACCGGGCCATCTCCTCGGGAGAAGACGTAAACAGCTCGATGTAGCGCGACCCTATCATCTCGCGGTCCTTGCGGAGCCCCATCTTGGCGTCCTCGCGCGTAGCAAACCGCACATACGCCTCTCCCGTCACCCGCCCGTCCGCCCGGGTCACGAAGGCGACGCCTTCCTCCGGGATGGAACACCCCTTGAAGAAGCACATCACCTCCGACTTGCTCGCGCGGTACGGTAGCCCCCTCATGCGAATCACCGTCCCCTTCGCGTCTCCCGCCGATCCCTTCGTTTTGGTGGGGGCCGCGGGGGGCACGTGCGTGGCCGCCTAGAGGAACAGAGGAAGGAAAGCCAACAGGAGACGGGTCAAGTGGACGTGCGTCTTGTGCTGACCGCTTGCTCTTGGTCCAAGACTCTTACCGTGGTACGACGCATGGCATACTATATTTTATATTCCAGCATTAGTCCAATCACACTCTTGAGATACGACAACAGGAGTACAGCAACTCTGGTTTTGAGCACGACCGACAAAGGAGAAAAGTCTTCGTTACCATGGACCCAATTCCTCGCGCATTCCTTGAAAACGTCGCAGAACTACTGTGGAAACTGCGAAGCTTCAACCTCTACTAAATTCATGATTACTCAAGTCTTGTTTTAGCAGACACAAGGTCCGAGGCGTGCGTGTTTAAAACAGCTCGTGTATCGTATCGACCCCTCCCTATCTTGGAAAAACCTGCTGGTTCCGTTTGAGTCACGTACGTCGCCGCCACAGCAGGAGAGGCTGTGCGAGAACATAAACACACACAACGGCTGTGTTCTGGATACGAGGTCGTCGAGCTGTCGGCAAATGTTAATATTCCTACGGTGCGGCGTGATCACGACATGACTTGCCTTAACCCCCCCTTTCCGCGTCCCCGAGCCCCCACTCCCC